TCAAAATGGAGCTGACATGAAAAGTCCCTACAGCACCATCAATGCTGACAGCGACTCGTGCAGTTGGACATACTGCCCCCGCTGTATGGCACCAACAATCAGAGCCCATGTGGCACCGACCACAAGCACTAAAGCGACACGGGAGCAGACCACACTCCAACAGCAGTCAGCACCACCACAACTTTCACATCACAGGGACATGGAGGCTGCATTGGTACCACAGTCCCCACTCCTTGGCACTGACTGGTAACTGAACTGTGCTCATCTGAACAACATCCATTATCTCCTGCACCCTCCATAATGGAAGAGGGTTTTTCCAACTTCTTCCTCAGAAAAAAATGGGAGGGTGAAGACCTCAGAAAAATCAACACATTTGTATGCACCCACAGGAAAGATGGTCACTCTTGCCATGATTATATCAGCCCCGGACAAGGGAGATTAGTTTTCAGCCCTCAGTCTTCAAGATGCATACTTCCATATTACAGTTCACCCCACCCACAGGTCTTTCCTCAGATTCAAGGGAGACCTTGAACAACTACCAGTACTGAGTTCTACTGTTTGGCCTGTTCACTGCCCAGTGGGTCTTCTCAAACACGCTTGCTGTGGTAAGCCTCACCTCAGGTAACAGGGAGTGTTAATATTCCCCTATTGGGATGATTACCTGATGAAGGGCACAATACACTGTGAAACGCTAACCATGTCACCCTGGACCTCTCCTGTCATCTCAGCTTCCAAGTCAACATACAGAAATCCATACTGGACTTCACACAAACAATTGAATTCAGAGGAGCGCTCCTAGACTCCACATGAGCCAGGATAATATTTCCCCAACACTGAATCACTACACTGACGACACAAATAAATTCAGTTATCCATAGTCCCTATACAGCAGTAAGAACCTGCCTACAAATCCTAGCCCACATGGCAGCTACGACCTATGTGGTAAAGTATGCAAGACTACATGTGATGCTTCCAAAGTTGTCTTTTCACAGTCTATACACCTACCCACCACAGCTTGGACAGACAAGGCATGCTCCCATCTCTGGTCCTTACCTCCCTGCACTGATGGACACAACCGTGAAACTTGCTGACAGGTATTACCTTCCAACAGAACCCCACATCGTGCATTATTATCATTGAGGCATTGATTATAGGTTGGGGGGCTCACCTAAACCACCACACCATTGACGACACTGCTCCATGCATATTTTATATCAATCGCTAAGGAGAAGCCCAGTTTCACTCCCTGTGCACTGAAGCTATCAAACTGTGGAACTGGTGCATCTGCATCACAAAATCTCTGACTGCATCCTACTTACCAGGCAACCAAAACACCACAGCAGACACCCTTGGTTGCCACTTCTCAGAACAGCACAAATGGAGATCAACTCCACCATCTTCAGGGCAATATTCCACAAATGGGGATGCCCCCAGATCAACTTCTTCTCAACCAGAGACAACCACAAATGTCCCCAATTTTGTTCTAGCGAGGGGTCGGAATGCACCACTACTGCTAATCCCATGAGTCATACAAAACAAGAACAGGCCAGGCATGCATGATTCTTATTGTCCCAACAGGACCCAGACGGACCTGGTTTCCTTACCTGAGTCACCTTGCATGACGCGATTGTTAGCCTCTACCTCTGCGACTGGCTCTCCTTGTGCAACACAGGCCACACGCTGTATCTGAACAGAGCAAGTCTCTGATTCAAAACATGGCTCTTCTAGGTTTCCAACATGAGGACCAGACCTGTTCTGACAAGAGTAAAGCATGTATTATTAACTAGAAACACTGTCTCTCTAAGGGTATGTCTACACTACAACGTTATTTAGAAATAGTTAATTCGAAATAGCTTATTTTGAAATAACGTGTCTACACACAAAATGCATTTCGAAATAGCGTTTTGCTATTTTGAAATAGCGCATCCATACTGAGTGGACGCTGAATCGCATTTAAGGCCGGCTGGAACCACGTCTGGCAGGGCATCAGGTTAGGAGTTACTTTGTGTGGCTTCTGCCTGAGGCTATCTGAGGTCTGTGCTTAAAGGGACCCCCCCAGACAGCCAGTTCTCAGGTTACCCTGATTGCTTGTCTACCTCAATGAGGGACAGCAAAGCATTTTGTGTCTGCGTGCTCTGGTTGCCTTCACTCGGGACACCACAGTAGTCTGCAACAGGGAGCCAGAGCTGCCTCTGGGCACTGTGACACTTCTCGTGCATGCATTGTTGTGAGCCTGGCTGCACTTTCTGCAGGCTGCCATCTGGGAGGTCTGCTGGGGGGGCTGTTAGTATGCAGGAGGCCCTGGGGGAGAGCTTCCACCCTGAGGAGCACTCAGAGCCTCTGTGGTCTGCCCCACTGGGGGCTTGTGCCTCATTCCTCCCTCACGTCCTTCCACTTACCTCTCCCTCACCCCCCTTCCTGATGTCAAATAAAATACACGTATTTTCAGGAACACAAACTCTCTTTATTTAACAAAACTGGGGGGGAGGGAATGAAACTCTGGTGAGACTGGGGAAAGGAGGTGGGAGCGGGAAAGAGAGGGGAGGGAGAAACCTGGGAGGAGGGAGCTGGAAGGGGGAAGGAAGGGGAAGAAGGGGGAGAGGAAGCTCAGGGTCGGGGGTCTCGCCAGACCAACTTGATTATCATGCAAACCTGCTCCTGGGTTCATATGTGGCCTTTGGTGGCCAGGCTGGCAGCTATTCTGCCATAGATGGCCACCTTCCTCCGTCTAGTGCGGAGAGCATGGACATTGGGGGCATCCCCCCAAACCTGAATAAGGTCCATGATCTCCACCCCGGACCAGGAAGGTGCCCACCTTCTCCGGGCCCTGGCAGGCTCCTGGGAGCTGGCAGACTGCTCCTGGAGAGTGGTGGAGGGCTGGCTGCCAGTGGCTTGCTGGCTCATATTTTGAGGACACTGGGTCTGGGGCAGTGACTGCTGGCTCTGGGCTGGCAGGCTTGGAGCTGGCACAGGCACTGTGGCCAGAGTCAAACCCATTAAGGGCTCCGGGGACGGGGGAGGGAGAGGAGTGTTCTTGGTTGAGGCTGGAGTGGCCACCAGGGCTCCCTGGGAAGGCTGGAGGCCCCCGATTTCGATATAAGTGTCCACACAGCACTTATTTCGAAATAGCTATTTCAAATTTGGTGTTATTCCTCGTGGAATGAGGTTTACCAAATTCGAAATAAGCGCTCCGCTATTTTGAATTAATTTTGAAATAGCGGTTTGGCTGTGTAGACGCTAGTAAAACGGCTGTTATTTCAAAATAACTTTGCTGTGTAGACATACCCTTAGTGAAAAAGATTCTCACTATGGTGCCAATAAAACCAGTTAATGCTTTCCACATCACCCCTGTCCACAACTCTCAATTACACACTGGATCTTAAAGACTCAGGACTAGCCATGAGCTCTCATAAAGCCCATTTGGTGGGCATCACAATTTTCCATGAACCAGTAGATGGCTTATCTGCCTTTGCCCATTCTACTACTAAATGCTTCCTTACGGGAATCCTAAATATATACCTGGGAGTGCATCCTCCACAGCACCCTGGGATCTGAACCACGGCTTTAAAAGCATCACAAGAACCCCTTTGAACTCTAGCAACCTGCTCTCTTCATCGCATGTCAATGTCAGTTGCATTTTTAATGGTCTTCTCATCAGCCAGACACATCAGTGAAATAGCAGCCCTTGTGACAGACCCTCCCTGGACTATTTTCATGAACGCTGAATTTATACTACGATCTCACCCCCAAGTTTTTGTGACAGTTGCCTCCACTTTCCATATCAATTAAGCCATTCACCCATTTTTCCCTATACCACACAAGCATGCTGGGGAAATGTCCCTTCATTCGCTATATGTCAGGAGAGCTGTTGCCTTTTACCTTGACAGGACCAAGCCATTCTGCAATTCCACCAGACTCTTTGTCTCTGTAGTGGACTGATCCAAAGGTGCAGCAGACTCCTCCGCGTATCTCCAGGTGGCTGTCCTCCTGTATGTACACATGCTACACAATCCATACCAAAACCCCCCTAGGGAGTCACAGCACAATCCACTCAAATGGTGGCAGCCTCAGTAGAATTCCTTAAGAATGTCCCATTAGTGGAGATATGCAGAGCTGCAACCTGGTCCTCTGAGCTAAACATTGCACCATATCAGGTGGTCCTTGTTCGGCCACTGCCGTAAGCCTCACTGTGCTATCCTCTGCATCCAAGACTTGACTCCAAAGCCCTCACCTCCATGCAGGTGCATTACTTGACAGTAACCAAGAGTGGAGTACCTACAGGGACACTACTAGAAGAAGTTACTCACCTTGTGCAGTAACGATGATTCGTCGAGATGTGTGCCCCATGGGTGCTCTACCACCCACTCTCCTCCTCTCTACGTCAGCGTTCATCTCTGAATTCGGGGGGGGGGGCACATTATGTGCATCCAAAATGGGTGCCAACAGCACCATGAGACGGCTACTGTGCATGTGCGATGCGGCCAGGCACCACTAGCGACAATCTCTGATCCCCACAGGGAACATTTTGAAGAACCATCATTACTGCATAAGGTGAGTAACTTCTTCCTGCCTCATCTAAGGAAAGGAGCTTACTGATCCAAATGAGAATGGCTTCGGCTGCCGTGGAAGTCAATCTGACAGATGCCGCAGGCTGTGGGCAAGAGTCCAGGACTTTCAGAAGGGCTGAAGATTCCCATTGCTCTTGCTCTCCTGCCCAGGTTCCGTCCTCCCTACCTCTGCTGCCCTACCTGTCTCTCCTACTCTCTCTTAATCCTAGTAGGGCAGCCAGGGAATACCCCACAGGACACACACCCTTCCTCCCCTGAATCCAAGCCATGGGTGGGGCTCAAGCCACATTAAAATGGGGTCATTTGCTCTTTGTGAGTTCTTTTGATTCAGTTCCTCTGCCTATGTCTAGCAGTCAGCAGTGGCCCTGGTGCTAGGGCAGAGGGAGTGATTGGTGCCTGATGCTCACTGCCTTCTGTTTTTTCCTCTTCCAGTCACCAGAAGCAGTTGACAGTCTCCGCTATGTGGATGACACAAATAGCACAGGTAAGTTACTCACCTAGCAACAAAGAGCCATACAGTCCCCACCTACCTCCATCGTCTCCTAGCCACTGTACCAATGAGTCCACAGAGCACTGACATAGCCAGTTCCTTCTCCTGCTTGAAGCAATCTCCTATTTCTGTCTCATTCTAGACTGAACCCTCCAATCCAGCAGCACTGAATTGTGGGTAGGATTTTTCTGCATTGTGGCTGGATGATGACTGATTTGTTGGGCGTAGTGTGTAGTGGGCAGGCCTCGCTTCGTTCCCGGCTGCTGTCCTAAGGCAAAGGCTGGGCCAGGCTGGCCTCTTGCAGCTGAGGTTGGTGTGCAGTGTGCATGTCCCAGTGTGTCCCCTGCCGAGGCAGGAGTGCAGAACTTGGCTGCCTGTCACAGGTAATCGGAGGTGCAGGGCATGTGAACACTTGAGAGCCAGGATACATTGAATCTATGTGCATGTACTATGTGTACATGGGATCAAGACTTTGCTCAGCCATGTCCAGCATGTACCCTGCATGGTTTTTTTTTTTAATTTAATTTTCACCAGAAAACTTGCCTTTCTCACTTTTGCCTTGCTGATGCCTCGTGCCAGTGGTGGACTCAGAAAACTCTGTCATCCGTTCAATGCTAGTACCAGACTTGGCGCTCATAGTGGAGTCTTTGGCAGTTCTGGCAAATATAATGCACATGTGGAGCCCTCCATACCAAGTGCAGTCGCAAGATATCAGGTGCCCCAATACCTGCTACTGCTACGCGCAACCTCTTACCCTTGCTTAGAGAGCTTGACTCCACCTGTACAGCAGGAACAGTTCGTGACCGCTGCCCATTCCTTTTCCCCTGAATCAAGCAGGGAACCATCACCAGTTCCTGGCCTGTTGGTTGGACATTCTCTACCCCTCCTAAATACGTTCCTCTCACTATACCACTCCTTGGAAGGCTTCTCCATCAGCTCTGTCTCCTCCATAGTTGTACCCCTTCCGTTCCCACTTAGGCCTTATTGAGTGTTTTGGGACCCATGCACCCTCCCTTTTTAAACCCTCTAGAACTTGTTCACATTCCTGCGCTTTTAAAAATAACCAAGATCTAATTCACTAACTAGGTCTGTGCCTAGAGCTCCCAGTGGTATGGTCTCCATAGAGAGCAAGAACCAGACCAAGAGGAGGCTGAAAGTAGAAAGCAAGACAGGGCAGAGGACCTTACTCGGAGAGCCCCGAGAGCTTCCTAAGCCTCTCCCTCCATGTCTTCAAAAGGCCTTATCATCACTGTACAAAGCAGGGACACACACCCCAATGCCTATCTCAGCTGTGAAGTAAATCAGACTGATTAGATTCATAGGCTTCAAGGTCAGAAGGGACCAGTGTGCTCATCTACTCTGACCGCCTCCACATCACAGGCCACAGAACCTTACCCACCCACTCCTAGAATAGACCCCACTCTCTGGTTGAGTAACTGAAGGCCTCAAATCATGATTCAAAGACTTCCAGTTGCAGCAAATCCACCATTTACACTACTTTAAGCCTGTACGTGACCCCCATCTCCATGCTGCAGAGGAGGGTGAACCCCTGATACCCAGGGTCTCTGCCAGTCTGATGTAGGAGGAAATTGTCTCCTGACCGCAATTATGGGGATCACTTAGACCCTGAGCATGTGGGCAAGACCTACAGCCAGACACCTGGGAAAGAATTCTCTGTAGTAACACTCAGCCCTCCCTAAACAGAGTCCTGTCTCCAACTGTTGGGGATAGTTGCTGCTAGCAATCACAGCGCAGCTACAGGCCATGAAAGACTGTCTCATCACACCATCCCCTCCATAAACACACCATCTCCTCCATAACAACCCCGTTAGGTTTTTGCCCCCACTGTTATTGTTGGAAGGCTATTTGAGAACGTCACTTCTCTAATAATTAGACACCTTGGTCTAATTTCAAGCCTAACCATGTCAATTGCCAGTTTAATAGCCATTTGTTCTTTATATCCACATTTGTGCTTAACTTTCATATCTCCTCTCCCTCCTTGTGTTTAGCCCTCTGATGTATTTAGGAAGAGCAATTATATCTCCCCACAGCATTTGTTTGATCAGGCATAACAAGTCGAGCTCTTGCAGTCTCCTCTCAGAAGGTAGATTTTCCATTCCTCAGATCATCCTAGTAGCCTTCTCTACACCTGTTCTGGTTTAACTTCGTCTTTCTCAAACATGGGAGACCAGAACTGCACACGGTGCTCCAGATCCAGCCTCACCAATGCCTTATATAATGGTACTCACCCCCCAGCTTGAAGCAAACTTTTGTGGTTAGTTCCTTGCACTATGACATTTTGTCCCATGTCTATTATTTTAATGTACAGCATCATTGAGACCACCTGGTATGCTGCTGAACTATTTTGGCTCCTAAGTCCTTTCTTAGGTGACAAACTGGCAGGGTTGAGCTAGCAGCAGTAGCTCCTCATAATCCTTTTTAGGTTCTGCTAACGCTCTGCAGTATGGCATTTATTCCCCCCCCGGGGCCTCCCTATACATCCTTCCTGTCTCCCTAAACTTTCCACTGGTCTTTTTTATGCGGTGCAGTACTAGAATGTTTTCTCAGCAAGATGTATGCACTTTGTTCAGCAGCAAACACTCTTTAGTTCCTGCTGGGACTGAAAGCAGCAGTATCATCTCGCCGGAACATAGAATCATAGAATACTAGAATTGGATTTGGTGGCGATGGGGAACTTCAACTATCCAGACTTATGTTGGGAAACTAACACAGCAGGGCTCAGATTATCCAAGAAGGTCTTGGACTGCACTGGAGACAGTTTTTTTATTTCAGAAGGTTGAGAAAGCTACTGGGGGAAATCTGTTCTTGATTTGATTTTTAACAAATAAGGAGGAACCGGTTGAAAGTGGAAGGCAACCTGGGTGATAGTGATCATGAAATCGTAGCGTTCATGATGCTAAGGAATGGTAGAAGGGAGAACAGCAAACTAGAGACAGTGGATTTCAAGAAGGCAGATTTTTAGTAAACTCAGAGAGCTGGTAGGTAAGGTTCCATAGGAACATAAGAACGGCCATACTGGGTCAAACCAAAAGTCCATCTAGCCCAGTATCCTGTCTGCCAACAGTGGCCAAAAACTAAGAGGAAGCAAGACTAAAAGGAAAAACAACTGAAGAGAGTTGACAGTTTTTCAAAGGGACATTATTAAGGGCCCAAAAGCAAACTATTCTGTTGCGTAAGAAAGATAGAAAGTATGGCAAGAGACCACCTTAACCAGGAGATCTTGAATGCTCTAAAAATCAAAAAGGCGTTATATAAAAAGTAGAAACTATGTCAGATTTCAAATGATGAATATAAGCAAACAACATACATGTGCATGGGCAAGATTAGACCGGCAAAGGCACAAAACAAGCTCAATCTAACTAGCGCCATAATGGGTAACAAGAAGATGTTCTACAAGAATATTAGAAGCACGAGAAAGACCAAGGACAGGGTAGGCCCATTGCTAAGTGAGGAGGGAGAAACAATAACAGGAAACTTGGAAATGGCAGAGGTGCTTAATGAATTATTTGTTTCGGTCTTCACCAAGTTTCATGATGATGAAATGCCTAACATAGTACATGCTCGTGGAAATGGGGTAGGTTTAGACGTTAAAATTTAAAAAAGAACAAGTTAAAAATTACTTAGAAAAGTTAGATGTCTGCAAGTCACCAGGGCCTGATGAAATGCATCCTAGAATTTTCAAGGAGCTGATAGAGGAGGTATCTGAGCCTTTAGCTATCATCTCTGAAAAGTCATGGAAGTTGGGAGAGATTCCAGAAGACTGGAAAAGGGCAAATCTAGTGCCCATCTATAAAAAGGGAAATAAGAACAACCCAGGAAACTACGGACTAGTCAGTTTAACTTCTGTGCCAGGAAAGATAATGGCGCAGGTAATTAAGGAATTCATCTGCAAACATTTGGATGAAAATAAGATGGTAGGTAACAGCCATCATGGATTTGTATGAGCTTTTACTCAAGATGCCTGCCACCTTCAAATTCTCAATCCGTTCCTCCCTATTTGTCAGCAGCAAATCCAGAACAGCCTCTCCTTTAGTTGCTTTCTTCATCTCTATTCATAAGAACAGTCTCCAATACATTCCAGAAGTTGGTGGATAATCTGTGCTTTACCATATTACTTTCCCAACAGCTGTCTAGGTAGCTGAAGTCCTCCATCACCACCAAGCTCTGTGTTTGAATGATTTTTGTTAGTTATTCCAAACTAAGAACTCTCGGGGGACTTCAGCTACCTAAACAGCTGCTGGGAAAGTAATATGGCAGGGACATTATAACTAGAACAGTACTGCACGGGTGTGGGAGAAGCACTAGGCATGACCCACGAGGATCTGCACCAAGTTAACCTGGTGACAAATCCCTCCTTGGCTACAGCAGAAGGACTCCTAGCACAGGCAGACCTGAAATGACTTTTGTTTGGCATCCAGTTGATTTGTTTTGGTTTGACTGGAGGGCAGGAATGATTCTGGGAGACTACAAGGTAGCTTTGAGGTTTCAGGGGAAAAAAGTAATGTCTATTTACGATAAAATAAAAAATATGAAATCTTTAATGGAACAGAAATTCAGAAAAATTCCATTTCAGGACCCAAAATCAGATTTGTTTTTCAGTTTACCAGCTGCATGTCTTACAGAGACAAGGTGGGCGATGTAATAGCTTGTGCTGGTGAGAGAACAACAAGCTGCCAAGCTTATGCAGCACTGCTTTTCAGGGATGCAGCGCATCACAGCTGACTATAGATGGGACAGATTGTTTAGCATAAGGAGGAGGTCCTATTTGAAAGGAGGGGAAACCTGCCAATATAAGAAGAGAAGGAAGGGTGTGGGTTACAGATTATTGTACTAAATCATAAATCCGGTGATCACTTTATCTGAGAGGCACACTGCTCTGTGGGAAATACCATCTGGCTCCTATCTGATTTCTGTCCGTCTTTGCTCAGGTCCCCAGGAGCCAGATGGACCAGCAGAGGAAGAGGGGCTGTTAGTAACACACGACTCCTCAACACCTACCACATCAGCACTTGAAGAAATGGCTCTGTACAGCAGCAAGCGCAAACTCCGACACAGCCGTCGAAGTCTGGAGGCTGCTGTCCCCACATAAAAGGCCTGATGCACTGGGGCAACAGGACAGCACAGCACAGGACTCTACAACTTCCTAGACTCCACGGACAGCATTGGACTGGGTTCCACAGCATGACATTGGCTGGGAACTGCACATCCCAGGAGGTGTTGTGGTTAACTAACTTTCTTTAGGCTGTGAACCTCCTTTTTTCTCACTACCCACAGTGCTGGGCATGTGCCGAACAAGACAGGACAGTGCTGGACTTTAAGACGTCTGACAAAGCGGGGCAAGGGAAGGAGCAGAAGCAGCAATTTGTTAGTCTGTAAATAGTGTGTGTGTGTGCGTACATGTGTGCGTGCATGAGTGAGTGCGTGACGCTGCCCCTGTTGTTCCCTCCACTTGGTTTTTCAGTGGTTAATACAGGGGCTTTTTCTGATGTGACTTATCACGAAGGCCAGCCCTTTACTCTCATTTAAATTCCAGTGATTTGTCGAAAACCAGGTCCCCTTGCCCCCACTCATGGCGTGGCATGTCTGTGCAGAGGCAAGAATCTGTGAGCTCTATGCCATCAGTAGTCTGGCCCAGTGTGACACTGTTCCTTTGGGCAGCGCACTGCCCCCCAGATGCACATGGAATTCATGTAGCACAGGCTGTGACCTCCTCTGGGCAAAGACACTACAGGAGGGCAGCGGAACAGGTGCTGACTGTGTGAGAGTAGCATGCATGAGCTGGATGAACTAGGGGAGATGGGGGTACAGAAACAAATTGGCCAGCTATAGCAAAGTCATAGCAATATGTGCATGTGACGGCGGTAGGGACAGACTAGTTGGGGATTAGAATGTGGTGACACAGCAGTAGGTGGGACAAATGAGACAGTGAGGATAAGGTCCTAGTGTAGAGTGCAAGGAGAAAGTGGGATGTGGGTTGGTGGGGGGTCAAGTAAAGGCATTAGGTGCAGGATGATGGTGGGACACAGTGATGGTGTGGGCGGCAGAAGGTGGTGGCTCACACTGTGTTGTCTGTAAGCACTGAAGTAAAATGTGAGATTTAAGGGGGACTGGACACAGACAAAGTGAGACCCATACAGGAAGCTCCAAGGGGAAAAGGATAATTAGATAGGCATCGCAATAACTACAAAGCCTACGGTCTCTAGCAATGTGGTGGCTTTGTGACCCTTTCCCTCCAGCTTAGGACAGATGAAATTGTTTACACATGCACCAAGGGAGTTATTGCTGGCTTCCTGCCTGGAACAAGGGCTTGCTCAGCCTTAGTACCAAGTGAACCCATGGGTGTGGTGCCAGTGAGTAGGTGCCTAACTCTACCTGTGATGTTATTGTTTCTCTTGGTTTTACTGCCCTGTGTGAGTTAGCAGCCCTTAGCCACCCATGCCCCAAAGCAAGGCATCTGATCTTGGCAATGGCCTGAGTGCTCTTTCCACTCCCACTAACAAATTGGTGCTGATGCCAGCAACAGTAAGACCAGAGCTGGCCCGTAATCAGCCCAGTGCCAGGATGTGACTAGGGAGTGAAGGGCACTTCTGCTTGTACATTTTTTTAAATGACTGAATGTGGTTTCTTTTAGCTGAGACTCTCCTCCCTTCACACCAAAATCACATGGCACATGTTAACTGAATTAATAAGTTTCATTTTACAGGGATCAGCGGTGGGGGGAGGGAAATCTGATGATCTATCAAATTACAGCCACAGCTGCTGCCATCAGCAATTTGAGCTTTTCCTTTTTAAAAACTTCATCTTAGCATTTGCTTTTCTAACGAGCAATTTCTGGAAACAATCATGAAAATTGGTTTTGGTGACTAACTTGTAATTTTCCTTTTCCTTTGTGGTCCTTGGGTGCCAGGCTCTAATCTCTCTACCCTCCTGAGAGATGCAGAAGAAAAATTAGCTCATCAAGACTGTAACTAGTGAAATTTGTACAACCAAAGAAATCTATTTTGTGGTTCAAGGAGAATAAAGTTTACTTTTCATTTGAGAGCTTGTGTCCGTAGCTGAAGCTCTTTCCTCTGGCCAGTGGGCAGCACAAGACGGGCCTCTCTTTAGTCATTGCTTCTACCCCAACAAACTTGGGTGTTTCTGATCAGCAGAGCCAGTGCCCATGAGCGTGCTGCTGCCTGTGACGTCAAAGGGTAGATGTTCTATAGTACTGTGTTCAGCCATAGTAATGGCAGTTGCAGCAGGCTCGAAATTAGGTGTGCCTGTCCCTTCCCAATCAAGAGAAAGGCAACTGTTCCAGCATCGCTGTCTCAGCCTCCCTCGCATCTGCCCTGCTATGGGCTCCCATTTTTGAGACATCGTTCATAGAGTTCAGGGCCAGAAGGCACCACAGTGGCCTTTTAGTCTGACACCCTCTATAAAAGACCAGGAAATGGCCCTAAATGAATTCCTGGAGCATATATTTTAGAAAAACATCCAATTTTGATCTAAAAATTGCCAGAGATAGGGCAGTCACCACAAGAATTTGGTAAATTGTTCCAGTGGTTAATTATGCTCACTGTTAAAAAGTATGTCTCATTTGAAGTCTGAATTTGTCTAGCTTCAACTTCTATCCATTGACTCAGACCTTTCGCTGCCAGCTTGAAGAACCCATTTTTGAATACTTGTTCCCCATGTACATATTTGTAGACCACATCAAATTAGCGTTTAACCTGTTCTTTGTTAAAATACACTGATTGAATGACTTGAATCTGCTAGACTCCTTGAACACTATGTTCCTGTTTCCCCCACCCACACACATGAAGTTATGCAGGTCACCTGCCAATGTAACCATCTTCTGTATTTTCACCCACACATACACATGTACACGTACATGTAGAGGGTGGACTCTCGAGGATGGGGCAATTTCATGCAGCAGCCTGCACAGCACATCTGCTAGTGGCAGCTAACAAAGAACCCTAGAATGGTAGAGCCCAGATGGGTCATAGCTTGGCTCTTCCCAACTACTAGTGCGATGCAGTGTAAAACCAAGCTTCCCACTCAGTACATATGTTCATAGTTGCAGCAGGTGGGTGGCTACCTGTCATCTTGGTGTTACCATAGCCACTTTTCAGCTGTCTGGGGGAAGGAGGCACTGTCACTACAGTTGCTGCAGAACAGTTGCCTGCTGGGTGCTAGAGAAACGAGGCTCAAGGAAGAACACTTAGGCAAGCAATTCTGACTCAGCATGTATGGGGAAAGTCTCACCATTTCAATGGTTTGCTCCCTGCCATGTTGCCCTGCCTCCAGCCTGATTTTCACCACTTGACCTATAGGCAGTTGGACCCCATCTGCAGCCATTCCTGGGACACCATGCACCCATGCTCAGACAAGTCTATAAGGAGCTTTTTAATATCCCTAAGTGGACATGGTGCAATCACCTCTAGTTTGGGCCTGCACAACCCCTGTCAGTGCCAGGGTGGCTGCTGGTTTGGTTTCATTCAGTGAGCAGGGAATGCAAGCGACAGTCCCTCTGGTGCTAGCAGTAGTTTGGCTTCAGATGAATAAGGCCTTCATTACTTTGGGCTTTTTAACAATGTCAGGTCAATCTGTGCACTAGCAATAGCTGGAAGCACCTGGAGTGTTGGCTACACTGCAGCTGCCACAGCCAAACTGCTGTTTGTAGTAGCCAGACTTGCTTATGGTGCCTAGCACAGAATGGCTACAGGCATCCCAGATACATACATAGAGTCACTGATACTGAAAAATGGGTGCAGCCAGCCCCAGTTCACTGCGCTGTTCATTGAAGAATCCTGTGTGCTAAGTCCTGGGTAAAAGATAAAGAAAGGGTTGCCCTCCATTGCACTAGGCTGGCAAGAGCGTTGTCTCAGTGGGGCTAAAGACAATGGCACCAAGTTGCAGCCTCCTTCAGCGATTGCAGCAAATAGGAAGTAGAATAGGGGGAAAAAATGGCTAAAATAAGTCCCAATTGGGTGTCATAAACAAAAAGACAATGGCTGCAGAGGTGAGGCAGAGGCACATTTCCTTCACACTTCCTGCCTGGTACTGAGGTATCACAGAACAAAGGGCCGGGACTGCGAGAAAGGGACTCGTCTTCCTACTCGCTTTCTGAAAGAAAAGAAACGGGTCTCACTAAAGTTGAGACACTGTCTAGGAGAGACTCACTTAGCCTGCAAAGCGGGGGGGAGAGTAAGGGGGTCTGTAGGTGTTCCCTATAATCTGTGAGCTTGTGCAGCTACTCAGGAACTATTCAAATGCCACCCACCTGATTAGCAGAGCACCCACAGCTAGGTTTTGTTTCTGCTGGTGGAGCACTTTTACACATGCTTCTGTGCACATAAAAATTATTCTGCACATGGATGGAGAAAAATCTGCTAATGGCTGGAAAATATTACAGGGACAATTGGACATACATTTAGAGTCTTGCCAGTTATGCTGCTGAACATAACTGCATCCTGCACCCGGATCTGAGCTGAGTTCACCTCACCCTGCCAAAGGCTATTTGGCACCACTCACGATAAGCCTGCACTTGTGGCAGTAACACAACAAGCCGAACCACAGCGCTACCCATGATTGGGTATTAAACACAAGCCTTGAACTACAATTTCACTTTAATGAGACACCAGCTTCCACACGGTTGCTGCCTGGTATCCCCATGCCTACCGGCTGCACTTGGACAGAATGACCTGAATTGGAAGGAGAATTTGGAGCAAGTCCTCAGGAGGCTGGTGACGTTTGATGACAAAAAAGAATTTAAAGTTTCCAATCCTAGTTGCTTGAAATTCAGTTTGTGCGTATTCCGATCCATCAGTTGCTCTGATTAAGGACAGGTACCTGTAAGAAGAAAGGGATGAGCAGTTGCCCAGCAGTTTATAGGCATGCTATGCTAATGAGCTCACCTGGTCTCACTGATGCCTGCTTCTAAAAAGCCACAGGTGGTGTTGCAGGGACACAGATCAAGTAAACACCTGGTTAGCGCCCCCCAACCTCAGAATACTCAAAGGCACCAAGGCTGTAGCTGTGCAAAGTGGACGACTCTGCCTTGAAGCCTGACTGAAAGTGTTGGAAGGCAGGGGCTGTGGGAGGGTGGAAAGCCGGTTGAAGCCATGAACAGAATTGTGTAGCACTGAAACACAGCCTGTAAGTTCACAATGGAGTGCAACAAGGGATGACTGAGACCCCGAACTGTATTAGAAAAAGGAGCAGTGCCTACCTGCCTCTGTAGCACTTGCTCCTTTCCTGTGCGCTTTTGTGAGTTGTTTCTTTTCCTACATGCAGCCTCACTCCCAGCACTGGCTCAGAGCCTGCTTAGGAGTTCACTCTACTAATGCACTTCAGGTTTTTTGATGGCCCCAGCTCTGTAAAACATGATTCCCTTTCATCATGGCTTCAGGTACCACCACACCTTCTCTCTTCCTGGACCCAGACTTAGGCCCCGTGCTAAATTACGCAGCACTGAAAAGCAAACGTGGGTCATTTTTTATACCGTATATTCCGGCGTACAAGATGTTAAAAAACATCCCCCAAAAATCGGGGGTCGTCTTGTACGCC